AGATGCATTGGTGTTGTGTCAGTGATGTGTTGGTGGTGCAGTGGTGGTATGTCAGTAACTGTTTGGGTCTTCTTTGTCTAAAACAATCCTAACCTTCCTTAATTTCCACACTTATCTGTAACATCTTCTTTGAAAAACTTTTACTCATGATATGAGTGAAATTGGTTAGTGTTATTAGTACTGGGTTCTAATCACATGACAAACAAGATGGCAGCCAAAAGGAAAGTACGTATTCATTTTCATATCATGAGTGAAAGTTTTCCAAAGAGGATGTTACAGACAAGTGTGGAAAAGAAAGTGTGTCGGTACCGTGTTGGCTGATGTTTTGGTAGTTTGGTGGTAGTGTGTCAGTAGTATCAGATTCTTTACCTTTACCCATTTTTTTTTTAAATCTCACAGAATAAGATTATCAGTAATGTGTAAAAATTGAGGTTGCATCTTCACTATTTCAGCAACTAGTCATTGCCTCAGGAGGGAAATTCTTGTTGTTGATTTAGTGCACTACTGGTAGCGGTGATGCTTGACCACTGTGCTGTGTTTCTTATCAATAATTTGGTAGGGCCTGTGCTTGTTATTGCAGGCTGCCAAGTGCATACTGATAATCTCTGCCTTTTTGGTACCTTTGAAAGGACACAACCCCTCCACAGAATTGAGTCTTGAGTCAGAGAACTCCTTAAACATTCTGACATATCTTACTTGTAGCCAAAGAAGGGGGTTCGTGAATCCTGGGTTCCATACATCATCTCTGAGCTTGTCCTTGAAGGGGTCATCCTGGAAATGGTTTTGTGTTGGGATAAGCTGAAAGAAATGAGGTGCCACAGCTCTGCTTTAACAGTCGTAGGAGAAAATATTAACTATTTTGTCCCATTAGTCAACTATTGTCTACCACAAGCTTAAAGCAGCCTTGCATTAATGGGTGTCAAACCTTCAGTGGAGCTGTTGTAGCAAAATCCCAAAGAAAGGTCTAATACTTTGGGTTACTCAGTTGTTGTTTATCCCATGTACATGTGAAGCCATAAATAATTATACTGTTCATTTGTTTTCAAATTGTAGTACCTTCTTCCATACAAGTAATACAAGATCAGAATGTAACAGAAGGCAACAATTTGACTCTGACATGTAATGCATCTGGAATCCCTTCACCAATGGTGTCTTGGATTAAGCCTGATGGTCAGAGTGAAAATGGAAGTGTGTTAAAGCTTGTGAACATCAGAAGGAATCAAACTGGAGCGTACAGATGTGAAGCCAGTAACG